TCACCATAGCCAACCGACAAAGTAGCAAAGAAGAGGGACTTGAAAAAAAGCCCTCCTCAATGACTGGCAGAGCAGGGCGACGAACCTCAGAAGACGATGATTGACTGGGAAAAAGTACAGTCTAAAAAGGAGAAGAGAAGGCTATCTAGAGAGCAACTCTCAAAGCAGCCGCCGGAGGAGCCCAGGCCAGAGCCTAAGCGGAAAAAACCACGAAAGTGGATTAGGCCTGACGCTCTGATCATCCGTCCGGTAGAGAAGGAGAAGTACGCTGAAATATTGCGTCGTATAAAGCAGGCCGTTCCCGACGAACAGGTCCGCACAACCGTGGAAAAGATCCACAAAACCAAAACCGGGAACATGCTGATTACGCTCTCAAAGAAGAGTATTGACAAAGGTCAAGCCTTGCAAAAGGCCATCACAGACGTTCTTCAAAAAGAAGCTGAAGAACGTCTGTAATGGCCTTTTGCAAGGCTTGACCTTTGTCAATACTCTTCTTTGAGAGCGTAATCAGCATGTTCCCGGTTTTGGTTTTGTGGATCTTTTCCACGGTTGTGCGGACCTGTTCGTCGGGAACGGCCTGCTTTATACGACGCAATATTTCAGCGTACTTCTCCTTCGTAATTCCAGCGTAATTCTTCATTTCCTATACGTTTTTATTAAACAAAACTTCAATTTTTAAAGAAAACAATAAAATTATGATTACGGACTAAACCTTGAAGAAATTGTTTTTTTTACTTTACATATAGAACCATATGTTAATGGAGCGAAAAAAATAGATAGCCGTCCCAAATAAATCACTCTTATATACACAGTAAAAAATTTTGCGTCATAGCGTCAAACAATTTTGTGTTAAAAATTTTTATGTTAAATATTTAACACTTTTTTGTGTTGATTTTACAGAATAAATGTTAAATTTCCACATAAAAGTGTTAAATATTTAACACAAAAATTTTTAACACTAAGATTTTTGACGCAATGACGCAAAATTTTTTGCTGTGTATATTAGAGTGATTTATTTGGGACGGCTATGTATTTTATTCGCTTTATTAACATATGGTTCTATGTAAAGTAAAAAGAACAATTTCTTCAAGGTTTATTCCGTAATTATAATTTTGTTGTTTTCTTTAAAAATTGAAGTTTTTTTTAATAAATACATATAGGAAATGAAGAATTATTTGTGTGTTCTACAATTTAAAAGTCTTTGACACTACTGCAATGGACCAAGGCATAGCTTAAGATAATAGCAGACACATTGAAAGGACTTATCGATATCAACTGACATATTTTGGTATATTTTAACGCTATCAAACTCAAACTTTTACTAAATAATCTCATTTTTCGCGTATTCAATGGAACACAGTAAAAAATTTTATGTCATTGCGTCAAAATTCATCGTTAAAAATCATCGTTTTGGCATGGAAAATTAAAAAGTTCATGCTTATATAAGCCGAAATTTTTAATGAAAGTTTTACATTTAAAATTTATAAGGGGATAGAAACTGATACGTCATACGGAACAAATTAATTTTAAAAATAAAACTGCAGTCTATAGTTCGATAAAATTTTTTTTCCAGATTTAAAATATCATTTAAGAGGGCAAATCATGCATGAACAGTTCTTGTCAGCTGATATATGGAGTTTTAATCCTTTTCTATTAGGCTAGAACAGACATGATCAGACATGGACAGGTCTGATCAGGTCTGAGCGTATTTAACGCTTCAGACATGAACAGACATGGACAGGTCTCATCAGGTCTGAGCATATTTAATGCTTCAGACATGAACAGACATGAGCAAGCATGAACAGGCTTGATCAGATCTGATCAGGTCTGAGCGTATTTAATGCTTCAGACATGAGCAGGCATGAACAGGCTTGATCAGGTCTGATCAGGTCTGAGCGTATTTAATGCTTCAGACATGAACAGGCATGAACAGGCTTGATCAGGCCTGAGCGTATTTAATGCTTCAGACATGAACAGGCATGGACAGGCTTGATCAGATCTGATCAGGTCTGAGCGTATTTAATGCTTCAGACATGGACAGGCATGAACAGACATGAGCAGGCTTGATCAGGTCTGAGCGTATTTAACACTTCAGACATGAACAGGCATGAACAGACATGGACAGGCCTAATTTCAGGCCTGATCATACCTGAACAGGCCTGATCAGGTCGGATTTCAGGTCTGATCAGTCCTGAACATTTTTTCCCGGGAAGATATATCAGATGATTTAAAAGGATTATGGAAGGTCCCGGCTGTCCGAATTAATGTACGACAAGACAGAAGAAAAATTTTAACTCTCGCTCGAGAACAATGTGGAATTTTCATTCAGGGTAAAGAAAATATTCTTCCTAATTTAAATGTTTCAACTGGCAGTTCTAATAATTCGATTGTGATTGATAATTCAAATGAGTGTGACAGTGACGATAACAATGACAAGAGTGACGAATTTGGATCTTCTGTAAGCGACAATGATGATGAGTGTGAAGATTTCCACGTAATAATTACACGAGAGCAATGGAATCTAATGAGACGTGATAAACCTTTTGTTTACAAAAATCGTAAATATTATGGTTTTGAACCTGGTGTATGGACAAACGTTGTTTCACTAGCTTTTTGGGAACAATACCGTCTTAAGTGTGCTTTTGTATTTAAACGTGGTAAAATTAATGAAAGCGGAATTAATTATGCAGTTATAAGCGGACGATGTAAAGATTGCTCTTGTCGTAATTTTGTTCGTGGAATCATTAAAGATCCTCCATCAGATAAAGGGCCAGTTGTTATTACCATGAAGTGTCGAGATACACGCTTTTCTAAGCATACTGATCTAAAGCGTCCTCTTAATGGTATTAGACGTAAAGAAGTTCAACAAAAATTACTGCGTTCTGGTGTTTTAGGTTGGAGGAAAGAAGAAGCTAAGAACATTTTAAAACCTGGAGATACTGGATCGCCTTTTTTATATAATTCAGGTACACTTCAAGAAGCTCGAAAAGAAGCTACAGATAAAGAGATTGGAATTCATCCTGATGATAGGAGAGACATGATATTAGCTATACGCAAAATGAATCAAGATCCACAGAATATGAATTCAATTTTATGGATTAGTGATACACCATTTTTTGTCTTCTACGCAACTCCAACACAATTTCATACTTATGCAGAATATCTGCGTATTCACAAGCAGTATTCATCAATATCTATTGATGCAACTGGTGGTTTAGTTAAAAAATTGATGGATTCTCGTGATAAAAAAACTGGCCACATTTTCTTGTATCAAGTTGTTATCAATTTTGATGGTACGTCTATACCCGTTTATCAAATGCTATCAGAAAGGTATAGTGCAAGATTTATTTCTTTTTGGCTTTCTGAGTGAGCAGAAAAAGTTAATTTACCACGACAAGCAGTCTCTGATGGATCGAGAGCTTTGCTAAATGCAATGTCAATTGCATTTAATGGTAAGTCTTTAAAGGATTATATTAATTTTGTTTTTGAAAGTCTAATCACCAATGCTAATCAACAACCACGTACTTTCATAAGATTAGACACAGCACACTTCCTTCATGCTGTCAGCAGATGGAAATGTTTTCAATCTGCTCTTCATAAAGTCGTGAAGTCTTTCTTTCTCTATTGTACAGCATTAATGATTGATTGTGACGAATTATCTAAATTGGAAGAAATTTTTATGATGACTTCAATAGTATGTAGCACAGAATTTGACGATTCGATTATTGCTATGGGTGACCGGATGATTACTCCAGAAGAAGCTAGGAAAAATTTAGAAGAATTGGTTGCAAAACGACAACCTGATATTACTATTATCGATTCCCTTGAAGTTGACCCCGATAAAACTGTGATTTTTGACGAATTACCATCAAAAGCTACTGATAACAAAGGATGGTCAGTAGCTCTTATTATATGGATTGATAGCCTTTGCAAAAAAGTGAATACTATAATCTTTGTAGGTCAGAAGCTTAATACTCATTATGTGCCAGGCCTGTATACTGATCTTGTTGATAAAATGAAAGATTTTTCATTGTGGACAAATGTATGCACACCTAAGACTATGTCACGGCCAAATTCATGTTATGTTGAAACAGATTTTAAGAATCTAAAAATGAATTTGGGTAAAATAGTAAAATGACCTACAACGGTAAACAAATTTTTAAAATTACACATAGCTGACATTTTAGGGGGTGTCAATATATTCCGATCAAAACTAACAAAACTTGTAGCTGATAATTGCTGTAATGAAAATGAGAAAAAACCAAAGGAAGAGAATTTGTATGAAAATTGGAAAGGATTCGGCAAAAATGAAACTGCGACAGATTATGATTGGGTATCAGATTACAGAGATTTTTCGGATATGGTTGAACAAAATGACTTGGATTCTGTGTTGGAGAATCCTATTGACATGGCTATAAATAGAAATTCTGCAAGAAATAAAAATGATTCTATGACCACATTCAAGACATATGATGATCATAACTATAGCTCTACAAGTTTCCAAGAACAAGATAAAAACTCAAATATAAACACAAGCATTCATAATAGTGAAATAGATAATAGCTCTGATGCGGAACTGTCGTCAAAATATAATAACATGCAAAATGATTCTGTTATCTCGGTTGAAAATCACAATGATCTTACTTACTATCGAAATTTTTATGGTGATAAAAATCATTGCTTAAATATTAGTATCAGTGATGTAGAAAATAGCATTAGCTTAGATACTAGATTAATAGATACTGTCTCTGAAATCGTGACTATTACTTGTACTGATACTATAGATAATAGTATTCATAATTTATCACTTACAAAATTGCTTGATAATGAAAAAAAAATTTATAAAGATTTGACATTGAAGCAGAATAGTTTACAAGAACCTTTATCTTTAGCAATAGAAAACATGATGAAACAAAAAACATTGAATAAAAAACATGGTCATTACTTTCAAGGTTGTCCAGAAGCTGCTCTATTGAACAATTTAGTTGATGAAAAAAAATCCACAAGTACCAAGAAAAGTAAAAATTTTTTACTTCGTAATGGTAATAAAACAGGCCCAGTTCAATTCGGAAGAAGCAAATGGACTGCACTGAATACTTGTCCCTTTGACACAATAATTCAAATCATATTTACAGTAGCAATAGATAACACTCATTATCGTGATTTCATATCTAAGTCTAATCTTCAAACATTTAAATTTCTAAAAAATTTTATGATAAACGGAGCAACACAAAAAATATATGAACATCGTATGGCTATTTTAAATCCTATTTATAATACAAAAAAATTGGAAGATGACATGAAAATAAAGGTAGCTCCTTACATAAATTGTCACGATAATATTATTAAGCTTTGGAAAGTACTATTTGAAGATGTACCAAGCGTTATTGAAACAACGGTATGCTCAAATAGTTTATGCCAAACATACATGCAAGCTTTTCCTGTAATTAGTGTTAATCACAAGATAATAACACGACATGGATTTACAGCTCTTGAGAAAGCTATAGAATTCAATCACAAAATTTATAATGTTCATTGTCGGTTTTGCTGTAAAGCAATTGCAACTCGTACTACTGTTCCTAAACAGTATCTGTTAATTGAGTTGGATGTACGGGACAACAAGTGCGGACGAAAGGGAAAAAAATGTAAATTAAGTGAGCTTCCAATACATTTACATTTGAAGCTGAATGACGATAAATTTAAGACTAATTTACATTATAGGTATTTGGATTTTTCTTGTTAATATTCACATTTTATGTATATCGTTGTAGCCACAACATTCATCAATAATTTGTTTTCAGATTATCAGGCGTTGCGGCGTTTAGCACGGGGCATTACTTTGCTTATTGCCGACGACTAGGAGGTAATTGGCAACCCGAGAAAATTATATATAAATATTTTTTCTCGGGAAGTGTACAATGATTTATCAATAAAACGTGAATCTGCATCTGTTCACACTGAGGTTGAATCACACGCAGTATTTTATGTATTAGAATAATTCTTTATACGTTTAAAGAATTGATATGTTTCATCTAATGAGGTTGTCTACCAAAGTTTACTAAGCAATATTTAAGAATCCTACTAAGAATCCTAAGCAATATTTTATGTATTAGAACAATTCTTTATGCGTTTAAAGAATTGATATGCTTCATCTAATGAGGTTGTCTACCATAGTTTACTAAGCAATATTTAAGAATCCTACTAAGAATCCTAAGCAATATTTTATGTATTAGAACAATTCTTTATGCGTTTAAAGAATTGATATGCTTCATCTAATGAGGTTGTCTACCAAAGTTTACTAAGCAATATTTAAGAATCCTACTAAGAATCCTAAGCAATATTTTATGTATTAGAACAATTTTTTATACGTTTAAAGAATCTACATGATTTATCTGATGAGGTTATTCGTTAATTTTATAAATATATTATCTTTAAATAAATCATTTTAATTGAATAAAAAATTAATAAATTATTTTTTATACTGGTGTTAAGATAAAATTCATTATATAAACATTTCCATCTATCCCATAAACGAATAATTATTTTTAGCTTATAAATCACAATTGTTTATAACGATACACTTATAAAAATGTATCCTGTAATTTCCATCTAATGACTGTGCTCGTCATTATAATTTTCAAAAAGACCGCGCTAAAAGTAAACGTAAAGTTAACGCATGCGCAGTGTGAATATTTAGAATACAAATATTCAAGTAATTAAAAATAATTAATTAAGTAAAAAATAAACAAAGTGAAATGAGAACAAAAGTTTTTCATACATGAACAATCATAAACAGAGGTTTATTGACCCGTATTGCTAAAAAAATATTAATAAATGCGATAGGGGGGCTAACTTTAGGGCAAATATTTGAAAGATTTTTTTTTAAATAAATAAATCGAGAACAAACGAATGTTTATAGCGAACAATAAAGAACAAATAACGAACTAACGATGTAATAAAAAAAAAGTTAAAAAATAAAAAAAAAAATTTTTTTGGGGGGGCTAACTTTAGTGAGCCCTTGAAGCTACAGTTTATGTAAAAATAATTCCAGCGCACCCTGGCAAACAGAGGTTTATTGACCCGTATTGCTAAAAAAATTATTAATAAATGCGATAGGGGGGCTAACTTTAGGGCAAATATTTGAAAGATTTTTTTTAAATAAATAAATCGAGAACAAACGAATGTTTATAGCGAACAATAAAGAACAAATAACGAACTAACGATGTAATAAAAAAAAAGTTAAAAAATAAAAAAAAAAATTTTTTTGGGGGGCTAACTTTAGTGAGCCCTTGAAGCTACAGTTTATGTAAAAATAATTCCAGCGCACCCTGGCGGGTGTAGATGCAAGCTGTGAAATATCTTTTTTTAACTGTAGTTTCCCATCTAATGAAGGATTACTATGCATTCTCGAATTATTTAGTCTGTGGCAGATCACTTTGCCCATCGAAAAAAAGTCAGGATCGAAATTTTTGCGTTGCTATAGTTTGTGCTGATCAAATTTAGTAATTTCAAGTAGATTAATTGTTATAAGTGAATATAATTAATTAATAACAGTAAAATAAAGTATGAATTACTGTTATAATACACAATTTAGGAAAAAAAAGTACCGTAGAACGGCGCTCCGTTGACAACGGATTTGAACGGAACAAATATAAATAATGCTGTGAAGCGGGAAAGAATAGAAGTTACGGATAATTATTACGTGAAGCGTTCCAACACTCACGTAACAGGATAATTGGTAGGAAAGGATTGAGAAAGAATTGTGGAGAGGATCATCTTAATGTGAGTGTATAGAATATGTGAGAAAAAAAAAATTATTAGATAGCTCGGACAGAAAAGTTAATTTCTAATGTATATACATCAAATTTGTGAGAATATTACAAATTGATAGAAAATAGCAAATTTTTTATTTTTATGCTACTCACTAGCATCTCATGTTTTGAAAAACACAAGAAAATAATTTTATCAACTACCCGGTATTTGAGAAATAAAACACAAAAGTTTGAAACATCCAAAAATGCACGCCTGATAACGCCGATTTATAAAAAAAAAAAAAATTGTGTAATTGATTAAAAAAAATAATTTTCCAGGAATAAATTTTAATATATATATCATAAAAGTGTATTTTTCATGTATTGCATGCCTAAAGCGCGAAGCGCGTAGGTATGCTCTACTCTCGCCTAAAGATCGTGATTTCGATTAAAACGTGATTTTTATAATTTAAACGAAAAAAATTATGGATAAAATGCATATTGAAATAAATAATAGTAACTATAGAACACATTAAAAAAATTTTCTTGTCGATTAAATAAGTTTCTCAGAAAAAAACTCGTTTTTCTGATGAATTAAATGAATAAGAGCGTGGTATTCACGGGAGCTATGGGCTTGATAACACCACAACTTTGTCAAAATTCACTTTCACAATTTAATTTTTTTTTTGTTTTATTCCTGAGGAAGTTTATCAAAACCCTTGTGAAAATTGCATGTCAAAATAATTCCCTTTCGATACAGTTAATTTTTTTCGATTGTCAGTTCGGTGACTTTTTCTGCGATTTTGGGAGCCATATATATTATTTTTCATAAACAGAATTGAAATAACCATAAACAAGCAGAAACTATACATACATGATGGTATAATTACTAACTGTTTTATCATCTGTTAAAATTTTTCTTTAGTTTGACCGACAGAGGGGATAATACTACTCGCGGGAAAATTCAAATTAAAAACGAATAATTTTCGTTATGATCTAAATAATTTATGTATGAGATGAGCGCTTAAGGCATGCTCATTTGGATTTTCCAAACTTTTTTTCATATATTTCATCTTAATTTTATTATAGGATTATAGCACTAGAATTGAATTTTGCGCGCGCAAGCGCACGCTTGAATATTAGCGTTTGTCTATATTTTCATGCTTATGATATATTTGACCAATCACGTTACGAATAAATTGATTTCACATACATTTCATCTCTATTTTATTATGGGACTAGAATTTAATTTTCGCGCGCAAGCGCGCGCGTCATATTTATTGTCATAATATATTTATGTGTCGTTTATGTATATTATATTCACTTTCAACCAATCAGAATAAGAATATTTATTTTCGACCAATCACATCACGAATAAATTGGTTTCACATACATTTCATCTCTATTTTATTATGGGATAAAACAAAAACCAGAATACCGTATATCTATATATATTGTGTACATTTATCCCACTAGAGGCGCTTGAGCATTATCGTGCTATTTTAGCTGTTTTATATATTTTTTTCACATTCTTTATTTTATTAATATTTCATAATTAAATGAGCATTATGAGTCGTGCACTTTTGGATTTTCCAAACTTTTTTTCATTAATTACTTGATTTTTTTTCTTTGTATGAATTGCAGCGAAAAGAATACGTTAAATATGCCAAAGTATTTCCATTCGCTGAGCTACTTAATTTCAAAGTACCAAGTAAATGGTACAGAAGGGTGGTTGGATCATTAGAAATCATCTGTGGTTTTACTATGGCCATTGTCCCCAACCGTGAGTTTTCAAGAAATATCAAAATTACTACATCAACTGGCTCCCAGAATTGGACGTAGTTATCTTTTCAGGAAAAATCAAGAATACGTCTAATGTCATTTTGCTGTGTCTGATGTTAATGGCTGTTTATTCACATCATCGACTTGACGACAAACTGGAAAGAACTGCGCCGGCACTGGTATATATCATTTAATAACCAATTTTTTTTTACTTATAATTATTAATTGGCCGTTTGAAACAAACTTTTTCGGACGATTCGTAAGAATCTTTTTCTTCGAGAATGAAATACGAGGACATTCTTTTTAATTAAAAAAAGAAAAATACATGCCGTAGGCCGCTCGATGTTTATTTAAAAAAAAATTACATTCTTTCGAAAGAATGTTATAAAATACACAGATTTAGACAAAAAAAGATGAAATTTTGAACAGAATTTTATTATCCATAAAAAATTTTTAAAAATAAGCATTTTTATTGTTGATTGCTCTAAAGTGTACAATAATTATGTTCAATTTATAACACGGTAAGGAATTAGGTAGTTGTCGGCGTCTTTGTGCAGTGTTGCTTCTATGCCTGAGTTTTTTTTAAATAAATACTGTTTAGTTTAATAGATTTTTAAAGTACTAATAGAAGACATGCCTTATTTTTTTATGTACTGTTAACTTGAGGTAAAGATTTGACTGGATTGTTCGGAGGTATGCCTTTGATTTTTTTTTTTTTTTTCCTACTAGGCGCTATAGTTGCTTACAGTAATGTTTCGGTTTCAACTTTAAAAAAAATGCTACAGAAATCATAATTATACTTATAAGTGTAGTTTTACCACACAGGAAAAAAAATTAACTTGAATCAAGTAAATAATTTTGAAGAACTTCATGTTCTTGATTCGAGTAGAAAAATTCTCAAACTAAGAAATTTTTCTCGGTTTAAATAAATTTTATTTGATTAAAGAATTTTTCGTCTTGATTCAAGTTGATTTTTTTTCTGTGCAGTAAACATTAGCTTCTGCAGTTTGAGAGTATGAAGAAAAAAAAACTCCCATGTTTATATAGATCAACGACATTTTTATTGATGAATTTATCAACGTAGTTTAAATTCTTTAACTTTTTCAAATTTTTGTTATTGATTTATACTTTATTTTTCTGGTAGTTGTGTTTTAGTAAGTCTTTTTTATCATTTTGCTAGAGATGATTTTCAAAAAAAATTTAGTTTTGTGTTTGAATTTAGAGTTAATTGAAAAAGGGACTACTTAGATTGATTTGCTAGATTTCATTTGTGTGTAAGGCTTTTCAAAATCTGAATGAGGCAAGGAATTTAATTAAACATTGGATGTCATGGCACCATGGTCACTGTTAATCGAAAGAGCTTTACATTATGCCTTTTTTTTTTTTTTTAAGGTAGTTGGTTCGCAAAATTCACACCGTTTCTGTTGAATTAAGTATGAAAGCTAGTTGAATCACTCGTGTGGTACGAAAGATTTCATACTAACTTTATCGGCTCTCCGTACCTTTACATGTAAAAGAAGCAATTTCAAAAATTAATTACTCAGAAACGGTATGGTGAATCAATCTGAAATTTTGGTGAAATGTGAATTTTGCGAACCAACTACCTTAAGCGGTTATAAGCGGGGCAAATATCGAGGAACTCGTTATTGTAGAAAATAACCAAAAATTTGAATATTTTTCAATGTAAAACTATTGTAGCCTATAATGGTCCTTATTTTTTGATTATCAGCGCTCAATGTAATAGTTACGGAACATTATTAGTTAAATTGCGATTACTATATAAAATTTCGGTTTGTGTAACAAATGGACATTGTATGCATTAGTGGGTTATATCCTGTGGCAATATTATGTATTTAACACGCTATTAAATAATACGGTCGTGATAGTCTTAATTAATTAATTTACTTTCTCAAGATTTTTATTTTTTTAAAACTATTATAAAGTAAAACAAGCTCTTATTTACCTCTTATAATCCACTTTTTTAAGTACTTATAGCACGTATTAGTTAATCATTTTTAATGATTTTCAATATATTTTAGGTATTTTTATTCATGTTGACCGGCAGATTAGTTATCGACTCACAGCTTAGCGATCAATCAAAAGAAATCGCTACAGTTAATGGAATGGATGAAAAAATTAAAAAGCAAGAGTAAAATATTGTGAGTAATAATTTTAAATAATAAATACAAAATAATTGTTCAAATGTTAAGTAAAAGAATTTTTATTTTTCAGCAATTCCAAATTTTACTATTCATAATGAATATGAATAATGGAATAAAATTTCGTTTATACATTTAGACGATCTTTAAATCAATGAGTACTGAAGATATAATTTCAGAAATAAATTTAATACTTTGTAATTTTTCTTAACATGTAATTACCATTGTTACATTATTTATTAACTTCGAAAACAGTGAATATGTCTATAATAGTATAGAAATTTGAATCATTGACGATGGAAACAAATACATTCTTGCTGACTCTGGTTGAATTCTATAAATCTATGGATTCGGTCCTGATTCATTCCAACGTCAGTAGTATTGACTTTAATTTTGTCAATATAAAGAATATAGAGAATGTTATTTGATAAGAATAAAATTAATATTATTGATTTAATTAGTCAAAAAAGTATTCATGATCAATCAAGTACAAAATTCAGTTAAATTATGTAAAAACTAACTAAAAAATGTTTTTCACAAATTAATTGCCAAAGCTGATTCCAAAGGTGTAAAAAATAAAAATACAGCGTTTTACAACAGTCAAACTCTAGTTTAAATTTTCTAAACATATTCCTTATTCTACTTAGAGATTAAATGTAATATTTCTTCAGTTTTCACGAAAAACAAAAATTTGGAAAACGGTTGACCCTGCAGACCATCCCTGGAACTTCCCGCTATGCACCAATTCAAAATGCTTGAGCAATTATCTATTTCGGAATTTTGAGCTCAAAAACAGGTGAAGATGAAAATGACGACTTGCCAATCAGAGAAGAATTTAACTTTCAAGACCCTGACTTCGAAGAGTTTGTTACCTTCGATAATGACGTAGCTGTCTGTGGAGAACTCACTGACGCTGACATTGTTGCATCTGTGTTGCCAGCAGTAAATGAAGAAACGGAAGAAGGTGAGGAAGAAAAGAATACAATAAATCAAAATGATTTTACGATAAAAGATGCTCGCAACGCTCTAGATGTTATTAAATATATATTCTTCAAAAAAGGTGGTTTATCTGACGGTGTAGTTAAATCAATTATGGAGTTAGATTGTGCTTTGGATATAATTACAAACACTGGCAAGCAGACAAATTGATGACTTTTTTTCGAGTAAAGAAACGAAAAATGAAGATTAAGCTAATAACATTATTCTTCAATCATGTTATGTTTTCTTTAATAAATTCTATGTTTATTTTGTCTATTTTATTCATTCTATCCCGAGAAAAAATGTTTCTATATAATCATATATAATTGTATATGATCATATATGATTATATATGGAATCACATATATAATTATATAGAATTATATATAATCATATATAATTATATATAATCATACATGATTATATATGGAATTGTGTATGAGGTTATATATAATTATATATAATCATACATGATTATATATGGAATTGTGTATGAGGTTATATATAATCATATATAATTATATATGACTATATATGAAGCGATATACAACCATGCAGGATTATATATAGTTCCATATACAAATATATATAAGTATATAAAATTATATATAATCATACATGATTATATATGGAATTGTATATTAGGTTATATATAATTATATATGACTATATATAGACATAAATGGAGCTATACACAGCCATGCAAGATTATATATAATCATACATGATTATAAATGGAATTGTATATGAGGTCATATATAAGTATATATGACTATATATAGAGCAATGTACAGCCAAGCAAGATTATACATAATCATATATAGTTATATATAATCATACATAATTATATATGGAATTGTATATGAGGTCATATATAAGTATATATGACTATATATAGAGCAATGTACAGCCAAGCAAGATCATATATAATCATATATGGTTATATATAATCATACATGATTATAAATGGAATTGTATATGAGGTCATATATAAGTATATATGACTATATATAGAGCAATGTACAGCCAAGCAAGATCATATATAATCATATATGGTTATATATAATCATACATGATTATAAATGGAATTGTATATGAGGTCATATATAATCAATATAATCATATATAATTATATATGACTATACATGGAGCAATATACAGCTATGCAAGATTATACATAGTTCCATATATAATTATATATAATTATACATGGGACTATGTACAATCTTGCATAGCAAGATATATATATATATAGATGGAGTATAATGCTCCATATATAGTCATATATGATTATATATGACCTCATATACAATTCCATATATAATCATGTATAAATATAAATAATTATATATGATTATATATAATCTTGCTTGGCTGTATATTGCTCGATATATAGTCATATATAATTATATATAATAATTAATTAGATGTAATAAATCTATAATTAAATATTGTTATATATAATTATATTTAGTTATATATAATTAGATGATTATATTTGGCCATTTTTCATATATAATCATATATAACCAATTTATATATAAATATATATAATTATATATAAATATTTTTTCTCGGGATGTCTATTTTGACCTTAAACTGATTTAAATATTTTCAAATAAATAATTCTGTGTTTTGATTTAAATGAGTTCTTATTCATTAGTGGAAATTTTCTTACCTCATTATAACGAATTTAGTTTAATCTAACCTCTATATAACAAACCTCATTATTACGAATAACACGATGTAACGAAAAATTTTTATTTCCCTTGAGTTTCGTTATATCAAGGTTGCACTGTAGTTTAATTACAACGTCATACTCGGACTTGTAAACCTGGTGGTCGGCAAAGGCAAAATTTGTACGAGGACAAGATATCTGACCGCGCTGTGTTGCTTCGACAAACTCTGTTTTAGCGCACGAGCTACAGTTTGGGACCAAGTGGAGGTGGTAGGAGAGCACTTCGGAAAGAGCCTGAGTGGACTCGTTCTCTTTTGTTGTCGGCAGTATGGAGGGTAGAGGTAAGGAGGACCGTCTCATATGGGGGAAAGTTGAAAAAGTGTCCAGCTGTATACTGAGAATAAAGGTTCCATTACCTACCAGAATAGCGCTGGCGTTCGAGTAGTTTCAATATGAACATAGCTGTTATAAATGGAGTGAAGTTTGCTGAGTTCAAATATTTAAAAATTTTAATGACTCGAGTAGTTAGTAAAATGCTAGTATACAAAACCTCAATTATTTACGTAGTCTAAAAAATGTTTTAGTAAATATAAATAAAATACTGCAGAGAGAAAGTGTAATTTTATTAGTGTGAATTTTTTAAAATAATTATCAGTGATTTTATTGTGGTGATAGTTATTAAACGATATAAAATAATGGGAAAAAGTTGTATTGTGAAAAGTTGTCCTAGTGGACGCAAACTAAAAACTACAAAAAACGATTCGTCTCAGCGTCTGTCTTTTTCCAACCTTCTGTACGTTGAGTAATTTACTTTGAATTATTTATTTATTTTACGACACCCTGATTGAAAAATCAAATTTGAAACAATTCAATCTGTGCAAAGTGTATATTTATATAGTATTTGACTCGAAAAATATTTTATTATTTCAAATTGTTTTTTAATCAATTCAAATGAGATTTATTAATCAGGGTTTAACGCTTCTTTAATGTTTAATCAACACATTTATATTTTAGTATTATATAAATTTATATTCACAGACACCGGCAAGATTAGACAAGTGGCAAAAGTGTTTGGGTATTAAATTAAAAGCCACTAATAATATTTGCCATCTTCATTTTAAAGAAGAACATATAAAATTGTACGACAAGTTTATCATTAATGGAGAGGTCAAGATTTGTCCAACAGTGAAAAAAAAACTGAAACCTGAAGCTTTGCCAACAATCGAGCATCAATTTATTCCTCTACCATTATATGAGCTCCAAGCAAGTATTATTGATCAACCACAAAAATCAACTTCATGCCACAATCACTGTGAAGACGATCAGCAGGATCGTATGCAAAACAGCTGCATTGAGCAACAGGAATTATTAGATGATCTGAATATTTCTAATAATGCTACAAATTACAGTCAACAATTAGAACAGGACTTGGAAAAGTCTCTGTTGAGTCAGCAGTCATATGACAGTTTAAATAATCACGTAGAAAACGAAAGAACTGTAAAACCAATAGAGAGTATAGGAGATATCCAGAAATGTCCAATGTTACCGCAGTTTTGAATGCGTGTAGACAAACCAGACGGACTAGAGTTTCTGCAAATGGATCTATCAGTCAAGAAAACGAAAAATCATATACGTCTAAACGAGGATTTATCATTAACTGTAAGTATTTATTAATTAATGTATGGAAAAAGTAATTAATATTTTCAGTCACAAAAATCATTAATAGCAACTTTATTGCAGGTTATTTTTTCTAATTGTGAAGAATTGTCTCTTGACGTTAAAATTAATTCTTTCAAAAATATTTGCGAGTTCTTAAAATCTGTGGAAAGATGGCCATTATGCGTTGGTACTCAAATAGACAGTAATAAGTAAGAATATTTTTTACATATAAAACCAAGGAGCTATAAAAAGTCTTACTCATTTATAATGTACTTCAAAAATTACATCAATTTTCAGGTACTCACAATTGTGTAAAGGTGTGATTATAAGTGACGATGCTTACCAAAGAAATCAAAAAAATCCAAGATGTAAATCATGTCGAATTTTACGGAAACGCTTACAAAGCCATAAATCAACTTCAATTGTTTTAGAGAAAAGTACTGCTCTAAAACGGCGGGCTTCAAACCTTAAAAAACAAAACAAACATTTGAAGAGAGTGGTAAGTTGAAAAAAAAAAAAAAAAAAAAAAACAATATTTTCTGTTGACTTCGAACATTATTTCAAATTTTACAGTAATTATCTATACAAACTTCACTGACAATGGCGATTTTTTTTTGGCATATTGAAATTTTTGTAATTTTTATTTTATTGAAAGCGTGTAAGCTCTATGACAATTGTAAGAATTTTTCAGGATAATAAGGTATTGCAGATGGACACATTTTTTCAAAAATTATATTAATCACTTTTACTCGGCAAATTTCTGTTTTAACCTTGTGAACAACTTTCTTTATATATTCTAAACAACTTTTAGCTCGTCTTTACTATGGATGGTTACACTATAAGATCTTCAGTCATTTTAACATAAAACAATTACACAGGGTGAGGACCATACAAAAGTACACTTGGTCTCAAAAAATTCCAGGACATTGAAAAAAGTCTAAAATTTTCAAGGACTTAATCTGTGAAGAGTTTTTGTTTGAATTTTTAACATGAAATATCAAATTAATGACATTATAATAGACATTATTATAGAAAGATATGTTTTAAAGCTTGAAGTTAAATTCAGATTGAGGTGTTATCACGATGAATTTTTTGTGACTAGTATAGCAAATATCATTGCCAAGAACGTTCTCAATTTTAATTTTAAAATTGCACTATATAATTTGTTTCTTGTACAGGAAACGTGTTCTAACAAAATCTTGCCACGATTATACAGTGAATAAAGAGTAAATTCTTGCGAGGACAGATACCTTCATTTATAATAATCTTTTGTACCAAATTTGGAATAAAAATATTATAAGTAGATAGTCACCCATTGAGGAGTGCCGTGACATAAACGTATTTTATAAGAAGTGTAAATTAACTTACAGAATAGTAATGTAAGTCTCAATTGTAACACTTTTCAATTGGAATCATCTCATACACTATTGGTATTTTTTAATTTTTACTTTACTTTAGAACGAATTTGTCCATAAATATTCTAAATATTTTCTTGAAAGTAATGATTATGTACATATCAATTGTAAATTAATTCTCCTGGTAAAGTATTCATAATGTTTATATTTGTAAAGTATTTTTTTTACAATAGTAAATTTTGTGCATAAAAATTGTACATTCTGTTGTTATAATATTAAAGATTTGTGCATTGCTCATTGTCGATTCGTTGAAATGATAAATGAGACTGTAACCAGCGATGCCGTTCAAGCATACATTGCTGATTACATAGTTCGCAAATTGCGAAAGACTACGAAATGCGTGAATTGCTTACAAGCTATATAAATGTGTGCAGGAGATATGGTAAGAAATTACAGAGAAATGATGTCATTAATAAAATGGATTCATATGGTGGACTCATATATGCGAACAATGAATTATTTGATTTAACGAAACAAATAGAAAAGTGTGTTTTAAGAACTATCAGTAAAACTCTAACCAATGTTGACACGATAAGTCAAAATATCGCAAGAATTAAAAAAAAAGATTTAAAAAGAGTAGGGTGCTTTCAACATGAAAAAGAATTGATTATCAAAATTATTGATTTATATGTAGTGATAAGATCTCATTTTTTGGTTAAATCTGAAAATAAATGCTACGAAGCTGCCAAAATTAAGACCAAAGCAAATAGAAAAAATGCCAAACTACTATCATAAGTACACAACTTGTTATTAAAAAAATATGTTTAACTATAACTATTGTTGAAGATGTATTAGTGTATTTATATAATTTAATAATATATATTCGTAGAATTTCTTTTTGAACCCGTTTGTTTATTCATTTTACCTTACAACTTATTTATAAAATCCCATAAAACTGGTTATTTTATTTTTAACAAACAAATTTTTAACAATTTGAAGTCATTAGGTATTCTATTTGTAACTCTTTCAAATTGACCGCATTAAAATTTTGGACTTTTTCATAACTAATTAAAAAAAAATATTTTTGGTAATACGTTCGTTAACTTAATTGTTTACAACGATGCTTTTCAAATTTTCAATTTATATTCTCTTTATGATTTCATGCATAATTGGAAATTTCAACATGACTTGTAAAAGAACGCGTTAATTTATAATAATATATCATATGATCATTGTAACGGAGTGATCGTTACCTATTAAAAGCCCTTTTATCCGCACTCATTAAGTTATCGACGGATCACAGAGCGCTGTGATTTGAAGCCCTCGTAGTCATAGTTTAAGACTAGTAAGTGAGTCCCCAAGGAGGAAGCGCCGGCGCGACGAGTGAGTGGGGAGAGCAGAGGAAGAAAGAAACGCACCGACAAAATTCGGAAGATTCATTGTGACCGAACAGTCAAGCCAAGCAGACACGAAAAAGTAATAAACAAGTTTTTTTCTCATACTAGTTTTGTTTTTTAATACATATGTTTTAGATTAAAAATTGGTTTCAAAAATTGTAAATTTATATGATGGAATGTAAATTTTATGATTCAATATTATATGAAAATTATCACGTTAGTTTTGGTAAATGAACTATTTATAATTTGTAAAAAAATTATTGAAACGTATATCATAACTAAAAGTCAAGTGTATCCTAAAATTACTGGTTGCATTTTGTACATTTCTATTGCTTAATCTTAAATAAATAGTATTACTGTATGGTTAATTTAGTATTCTAGTTTTGTAAAAATATTAAACATAAAAGTAAAACCAATAATTTTTTTGAAAATCAACGAATATTTTAGCGAAAAAATAAAAATAATTTTGGATTAGTTATGCGATACGGATCACAAACAATAATTCTATTAAGAATTATTGTACGACGTAATAACATTACAAATTATTCTGTAATATCAAAATGCTGCGTTGCGATAAGTATTATTATATCCAATTGTAAGTAATTCAAATTAGACCTCGTAATTTTACCTTAGTTTTGTTTTTTAAAAATAAAAAAAAAATCGGAATTTTACTGTACGTTATACGAAATAGAATACAAGAAATAATTCTGTTAGAATTATCATGCGACGTAAAAATTTCATAAACAAATTTGTAAGTTCGAAATGCTGTATTGCGATAGTTATTACAATTCTTAATTGTAAAAAATTAAAATTTGACTATGTAATCTTACGATACTTTTATTCCTTAAAAGTAAAGAATAAATTATAATTTTAGTATACGTTACATTGAATAATAAGTAATACACCGGCATTCGATATTTACAATTCGCTCCGAGGGCAACTAATACACTCACAGAAAATGTAAGTGTATTACGCGTCTGTGTATATCCGTGAGTGGGAGTGAAGTTCCGATTTTTATCGCAGATGTCGCGTCTTATGGGAAATTCTGGGTACGAAGTTATTTTAACATGGGATTTTCTGGGTACGAAGTTATTAAAATTGTCACCTTGAGCTCTAGCCCTGTTGCCCTCAGAGCGAATACCATGTACTAATTTTGCAATAATATTATTTTGATACTACCCGGGAAAAAATGATCAGGCCTGATCAGACATGATCAGGCATGAGTCTTCAGGTCTGATCAGACCTGAAAAATGACCGGGTCTGATCAGACCTGATCAGGCCTGATCATGCATGAACAGGCATGAGCGTTCAGGTCTGATCAGGCCTGACCAGGTCTGAAAAAAAAAAATTCGTCGATGAAAGAAATCGAATGGTGGATGTCTTGCATGTAAAACTCACTCTCTTTGTTGACCCATTAGTATTTTGTGATTTCAGAAGTTTCTTTAAGTAATTTAAGTCTGTCACATGATATATTCCTTGTGTTGAAGAAAATTATATAAGTAATTTATTTATTAGTAATTATAAATAATCTAATTATTAATCATACATGGATAATTTATTTTATTTTTTTTTACCCGGAAAAAAATGATCAGGCCTGATCAGGCCTGACCAGGTCTGAAAAAAAAAAATTCGTCGATGAAAGAAATCGAATGGTGGATGTCTTGCATGTAAAACTCACTCTCTTTGTTGACCCATTAGTATTTTGTGATTTCAGAAGTTTCTTTAAGTAATTTAAGTCTGTCACATGATATATTCCTTGTGTTGAAGAAAATTATATAAGTAATTTATTTATTAGTAATTATAAATAATCTAATTATTAATCATACATAGATAATTCG